CATCTGTGTAACCTTCTATATTGAGGTTCCATAGGTAACTTATTTCTACTAAGTCCTGCAATTTGAGAAATATCAGTTTGAACAATAAATTTTTTAGATAAAATGAATAATGAAAACTTTTTTATTCCTCTAATAATTGCTAACAATTCTTTTTCATGAGTAGTATAATTTATTTCTGCTTGGTTAAAAGTTCCACTTGAATATCTGCATATTTCATTTAAATCTGTTTTTAATATAACTGCCCAATATTTATCCGAGGCATCAATATTAACAATTAGATTATCTTTTTCATCTGGTGATGAACATACAAGAGTTATTAGGATCAAAACTGATGAAAATGATGATACCCCTTTATCATCAAAAGAAGAAGAATATAGATCATTTGCCAAAATTGTTTATGAATTGGAAGAAAATGAATCATATTTTATTGCATCGGGAGATCATGTTTATCCTAAATTAATAATTACTAAAGATGCAGACCCTTTTATGGTCAAAATGGCAGCAGATTATGGATTTCTGGATTTGATCTATCCAGGAAAAGATTTAAAAGAAATTGAAAATTTTGATGATATATTCAGGGCAAAAGTTTCAAAATTTTCCGAAGGGAGATCGATTTATATCAAATTTTATTCAATAAGTCCCGAGGTTGATGGAAGGATATACTATCCTGCTGAACATATTATCACAATTGGATATGTTAGCCGAGATTTTCAGATTGAAGTTGGCCGAGATAATAAACCATTGCCTAAAATTAATAAATCATGGATAAAATCTCGAAGAGTTTTGGGGATGAAAGTTCTTTATAACATTGCAAAAAACTTATATGATAAAAAATTCAGATGCTTATGTCAAATGAAGGATGGACACTCCTTACGAATAATGGAAAAGAAGAATCTAATATTTTGAAAGAATATATCCAGAAATTTGATACTCATCGAATTAATGGAAGTCTTACAACAATTCAAGAATCATGTAGATTGAGGGAGTGCCCCACACGCAAACAAGACTAAAAAGATTGATAAAAGATAGGGACCTACCACTATCAAAGCATCTAGCCAGCTGTATATGAAGCCAAAGATATAGAGACAAGAATAGAGGAAAAGATGCCCCTTTGATGAAAAAGTAAAAAACGCATGTGAAAATGTAGACCCCAGGAGGAAAAGAATAGAGAGGCATGTGAGCCTTTTCAAATTCTGATGTATGCAATGATATAATAGACCAATAATAGCAAGTTTGAGTCATGTATAAATGGAGGTCTTTGGGGAAAAAATGGATCATCTCGAGTTAGAAACCATTCTCTTTTCCTAAACTTTCTTTAAAACCAGTTTTTCTGATAACTCCCTTGTATACAATAGAAATTTTGTATAAATCATTATAGAAATAAAATTTCAATCTTTTGATAATAAATTAGGATATTTTGTGCAAAATATGGCAAGCCATTTCATTAAGGGTGATATAGACATTTTAGCAAGAATGAATAGTGATAGGCCATTTAGAAAAATCCCCCATATCTATGTCTATTCTAAAAGGTATATTGTATTTTGAGATATTTTTCTTCCTTTTTTCTAATTTATCTATGATATCTTTTATGATTATTGATCTTACAATTCTTTTAGCAAAATTTTCTAATAAGTTTTCTTTGAAACATTTTAATATTTCTTGTAATGCATATAATTGTTCTTGATATCCTATCTTATCAATTTCTTTTTCAAACTTAATGTCTTTTTTATTTTTAATAACCTTTTTTATATTATATGGTCCCCTCTTATATTTGGATTTTTTCATTTTATAATTATTCATAAAAATTAATAATTCTTTCAAATTTTTAGAAAAGTTACTTGTTAATTTTTTAATGGCTCAGATAGAAGATTTTTATTATGAAATAGGTTGTTTTTAATAATTGTTTAAGGGTATTTTAGGTAGTTACAAATATTTGGAAAAGTCAAGGATTAATTTGGAAAATGGTCTCTTTTATTTGGGTCAATTCCATGTATTTCCCCGTCCTAACACATGTATCATATGCACTCTAGAATTCCTTCAACTGTATAGTGTTATAATGGACACCATGGGGGAGGGGATGGCTGTATGGTTTAGTGATGTTCTCTTGGGGGTTATGAACTATTTTTGAATTTTGGACTTCGGATGAAGGGTTAATTGGGCGTGCATCCAAAGTTTTGGGCCTGGATTCTGCTTCTTCCTTAACTATTCTATTCTTTCTTATATAGTTTAATGTAGCAGAATATTAAGAGGGAACAACATCTGAAAGCCCAGAAATTAGTTGTGATCTTTTTTTCGGTTTTTTTTTTTCCTGTCTCCCTTTCCTTCCATTTTTTGTTCTCAAAAAACTTAAAATTTATTTTTCTTTCCTGCTTTGCAACCTTTCTTCTATAACAATCAGAAGAAATTACCCTCATCCCTCCCTTTCTGTTTACTCCTACTGCTCTGGCCTGCAACCTCCCCCCCCCTTTTTATGGGGTGTGTGTAGGCCTATATCACCTGTTTCTTGCTCTATCTACGCAGTTATCAGCCTGGAAAGATACTTGGGAAAAATGAAGAATAACCATCTGACACTTGAGAAGTGTTTAATTATGGTTCGCCACAAGGAAGAGTTGAAGTGTAGAAGCTATTAATCTGTTTACTGCTAACCAATTTTTAATTGACCAGGGCGATTTCACCTCTTCTATTTGTGGAATCTCTTCATATTGGCCACTTTTGCCTGTATAATACTAGGGCGGGACAATTTTTATTTTCATTGTGTGCTAGTACATTGCTCGCAGCTGGTTAGCCTTGCTGTTCTAAGTTCTTTAGCTGTTCACCTTGAACTATTATATAGTTTAAGGGATCGTTTCATTGCATACATTGAATATCTATGAATCAGATAATGCTAGTATCTGTTTCCACCTAAAATTTGTATAGCATGATAGCTTGTAGAAGGGCTGCTTTTGACTTGTTTAATTATCCTACTATTACGATTGATGCATCTTCTTTTGCCGTTCCCATGCAGTTAGTTTCGAAGGAAATGCAAAATGGGGGAAGGAACTGAGCCAAGAGTTATGTTTACTTTGAATTTTTTTTTTTCATCATCTTAATTTTTCCTCTTCTGCTGTATCTTTCCAGCCTGCAAACCCGAGGTAGCTCAATTATTCGAACTAAAAATCTAGTTTGGGTTACTGCTTTTGATCTTTAGATTTTATGAGAGTGTTGATATGAAGCTTGTATTCAAAAGGTGTGTGTGGCTAAGTACATATGTTTGTCTTCGTTATGATTTTCCTATGTTTTGAATCTGAAAAGATTGCAACAAATTGTATCCCCAAATTAAAGGGTGTCCTCACGAATTAAGGATTGCGTGATTGTGTTTAAAAGGATAATTGCAAGATTGTCGTAAAAAACAAAAAAGAAGTCAAGAACCAGATTCATTTTGCAATATTCTTGCCAAAGTACAAGTTCCAAATGCACTTGCTATAATATTCCAGACTACACTTGTATCTATTTTTCTGTACAAAAAGATGATGAACAGGGAAAAAAAAAAAACAAAAGCATAAAATTAGGTTGTAGTAGAGAAACAAAAAACTTTATTCGATGCTGTCAATTATTTTGAATTTCGAATATTTTGATTATTTTCTGCAATCATACTGTTCAATTTCGTGTAAGTTTGCCGTCGTAGTTAAGAAATATGTATTCGATAATTAAGATTTAGGAGTCAATTCCAAAGGAACTGGGGCTCGAATGGAAGCGTTAGCGTCTTATTGTGGAAAAAGCAGATTAAACTTGCTTTTCTAGCTAGGCTAATAGAAACAATGGTTTAAGTGAAAGACAAGTGAATGAACAACGAAAGAATATGTTCTTTCATACGACCTTCCACTCCAAGAAACTATTAATTATAGACAAATTCGTTTTACTTTTGAAATTCTCTCTCGTAATATTCTTTATAAATCTCTTTATTCCTCAATAAATATTCTTTTCACTATAATTACAGAATAAATAATTCCCCTGCTAAAGCCTAATATTATCCTACTACGTTTATTGGTTTTGTGAAATTCTTAAATCAAATCAGATACCATTCAAGACTCTTGTTTATTTATTCATTTATTTGAGTACTCACAAGTATGAAAAATTCATGTTCGGCTTATGATCCATTACAGTCCATCAGACAAAGACTTTTGAAAAGTCAAAAATTGTTTTTGAAATTAGAAATTATCAAGAAACTCGTTCAAAAAAAATCAAGATGCAAAAGTCTTGTCAAATAGGCCCTACAACTATAACGAACATCAGCAAGCATAAATCCCCAAATTGCTTCATCTGCAAGCCAACCGTGATCTTAATCCATATAAAGTCATTCTAGGATTCAAACAACGTTATCCTCCTTCCTTTACGTATTAGCCATTTTGTTCCTGATCAAATAATGAAATACGGCGAAATTTCTCACTTCAGCCACCCCTATCACACTCTCGAATCTGAGTACACCAAAGTCCCCTTCAAGTGTGATGGCTGCAAAGAAGTCGGGATTGGCTCGTGCTATAAGTGTAACGATTGCAACTATGATCTGCACATGCACTGTGCCATCCCTTCCCCTTCGATATCTCACCCTTTCTACACCAAGTGCTCTTTCCAATTCCTTGAACGCCCTCCTGGAAATGTAGCGCGCTATTGTAACGCCTGTGAGAAGGACATTACTGGATTCGTTTACCACTGCAAGAAATGCGGATTTGATCTGCATCCATGCTGCGCCAAGCTCCCTATGGTACTAGACGACGGTGAAGTGAAACTATATCTGTATGAGAAAGTAAGCGAGCCTTGTCTTAGGTGTGGGAGAAAGGGGAGAAGTTGGAGTTATAGGTCGACGTGCAAGAAGTACAATTTGCACGTGGCGTGCGTGAAGGAGATGTTGGTCGAGAGTTGGCACGAAATATATTTCGGAAATGGAGGTGGGAATAGTAGAAAACTGGAGACGAGGATTCCTAGCTTGAAAGGTACACTGCAAACTCATCATAGGAAAAGCAAAGGAAAAGTTCAAAAATGTTGCGAAGTGGCTGGATTTGCTTTGCAGTTTGTGATTTCTGCAGTTCTTGGTGATCCCACTACCCTGATTGCTGGGGTGGTGGGTTCAATGATGTCAAAATAAAAGGTTTGATGTTATTAATAAATTCTGGTCAAGTGAAATTGGGAAAGTTGTTCCTTGTAGATAATAATTGGATAAGGCAAAATCAATGTTAATGTAACCCCTGCAGCTCTAACAATGTTCTTTTTAATATATGTTAGTTCAGAAGTCATAAAATTGGACTAATCTGGAATTTGTCAAAGTCGTGAATTGCACTGGAAAACGTGGTTTCGTTTCGTTATATGTCTCAATCTTAAGATTTTAGAGATCTCTGATAATATAATATTAGTTCTTATTTTGATAAATAAATATGTTAATCAAGGGTATAGGATGGATGATGTTTTTTGAAGGAAAATTATTATTTTGTACACTTTATCTATTCAAAGTCAAGGGTTTTGAGGACACTTGACTGGAAAATTAGTAGCACAAATATGACTTTTTTTTACATCTCCAAGAACTGAGGCAATTGACACTGAACTCTTGGTTGATTGCTACTCCGCACCACCACCCTTACCCCAGTCAATTGACGAAAATTGTTAAAGTGGTCAATTCAAGAAAAATGTTAGTGGTCAATTCAAGAAAATTGAGTCATTTATACTCTGAGTTGATTTGCCAAAGGTCTGAGGTTAAGCCATCTTTGACTATTACTCAATGCCATTGTGGTGCCTTTTAAGCACAAAGGCTGCCAAAATTGTGCTGCTTGTCTTTTAGTTCTAGAAAAGATTTACCATATAATAGTGGAGTTTGCCCGTTACATTTTCTTGTCCTAATAAGAATCTTCCTTCTCTTGCTCAGTGTACTTGTACATTTTGATCAATGAAATTTTATATTTATCGAAAAAAAAAAAAAGAATCTTCTTTTTCTTTTCTCTTTGTTTTCTCTCTCTCTCTTTTTTTTTTTTTATCTCCCGTTTGATTTTGCTAAAAATTAAATATTTAAGTAGAATATACAATTTTGAAAATCGGTAAAATAGTAGCCCAAAGAAAGTAATCGTTGCTTTAGTTGATACCCCTATATACACTTTTTTTAAAGTACCAAATGTTCCCCTTAACATAAGTTACTCTAGAACGTGAATGTGAGAGTAAAATTATTCATGAAGGGCAAAATCGTCTTGTTAAAAGTAAAAGTATGAATATGATGAAATTTCACATTTCTTTTGTGTCATAATTTATCTTCTGAAAAACATTATAAAATGCTAGCAGCCACACATAATTGATAATCAAAATCAATTCTTGGCAAAAGTGGGGACCAGACGAGAGCTTAAATGGAAAAAATACGTAATAGGTTCGTATTAGGAATTTAATTATCTTGGATATTGTTTTAATGAAATGTTGACTTTGTAGGTTCCGTGGCATTCTAATCTGGCCCTGCTGAAAATGAGTCCAAAAATGACGGAAAAAACGATGTAGTTTGAAAATCTTGCATATTATTGTTGTCTTTATAAAGTAGTAAGTAAATTTCAATAGACATAATGAAAAATTTGTGAAATACTCCTTCTAAGAAAGCTGCATGGGAAATTGCAGGTCATGTGAGCCTAGGTCCACGGTCACAGCCAAGTTAATTCTCGTAGACGGAGAGCTAGAAGAATTTCCATGTCCAATAAAAGTGTCAAATTTGCTTGAACAAAATCCAGATTGTTTCATATGCAATTCAGATGAAATGGGATTTGGCGAATTTGTTTCGGCCATTGATGGCGACGAGGAGCTGCAGCCGGGAGAGCTCTACTTTGAGCTGCCGTTGAAGTGGTTGAGCCACCGGCTGCAGGTTGAGGACATGGCTTCTTTGGCCGTGAAAGCCAGCGTTGCTCTTACAAGAAGTGATGGGATTACTAAGTGTTGTGGGTCTAAGAAGGTAGGTCCTATGATACTGTTTCACGAGAAAGATGACAAGGCAAGGCCTCTCCTGGCGGCGGATGGTGGCGGTCGAGCATATAGCTGTAAAGGTCGCAAATTTGATTCAAAACTGAGTATAGTGCTTGAAGAGTAAGGCCTAAAATCTCTTCAGCTCTGGAATTTCCTTGAGAAAGTTCATGTTTTTGTGGTGTTGTTCTAGGAAGACCCAACTCACCCATACGCTATACCTATGTATACAATTTTAGGGTCTTCTGTGCAGTTTTGTGATCTAAACAATTTTTTCCCTCTGCTTTTACGAATCGTAACAAGTAATATAGTGGACTTAAGAGTTCCAATATAGTTTCCTAAGACTTCTATCTAACAACTGATTTAATTATTTTTAACTTCAATTTGATCGAGATCAAATAAAATAGTTATTTTTCTTTTTGTGATTTTATATTTTAAATATATTAAAAGAAGTAAAAGTGAATTATTATTATTTTTTATATGAGTTCACCATAGTCATTCCTCGAATCTCAATCACCAAGTTTTATAAAATTAATTATGTTTATCTGATCAAAATCTTTTAATGTATTCAATTTACCTTATCAAATTCTCATTGAGTCTATTTAGTTAATTCAATTTCATATCTATATGCGAATCAATCTTTAAGTAAACAAAATATTAGTTCTAAGAATTCATGTAACAATTACAATAACTAATATAAATACCTCTACACTTTACACTATTACCAACTTTTACTACGTGATCTAAATAAATAATCCGCATCTCTACGTGATTATTGTTCACGAAATCAATGAATTAGTGACCAATTAATTCAAGCATTAAGATTAGAAGTAAAAAAAAAATTCACAATAACAATTTAAGATATAAAATAGTTTTAATTAAAAATAAGATTCAAAACTAGCTTACAACCATTCAAACTAACTAAATACTTAATTATAAAACAAGAAGAAATTAAAATACATCATTGTGTATTAAGGAAAAAAAAAAGTAAAAAAAAGAAGAAGATGAAAATCTAGCACCGAGAATCCGCCTCTTCTATGTGAAATCCTTAAAACTCTAGCTCCTTGATTGATTTCTTGATTTTTCCTTTCTTTTTACTTGAATAATGTATCTAACGAAATCCTACATGCCCTTGGTAAATTGGTGATGGCACGTAATTAATTCCAAAAATTTTTGCACAAAATCGTGATGAATTTCTGTAAAAAATAAAAATAAAAAATTGAAAATGGAAATCTGAAATTATTTTCTTCTCTGGACTGCCGTCCACTATGTTTCTGTGTGCGCGTCCCCTTTATTATTTCCAAACTGGCCACCAGCTTTTTCTGTTTCAAGAGGAGTCTCCTTCCTTGAATCAAATTACTCTAAAGCAATTTGATTCTAACTGAATTGTTTTCCTGTCAATTGCCGTCCACTTCCAAAGGCTCAGTTAATACATATTTTATCTTCGAGTCCTCAATTCTTTCAAAAGATGCACTTTAATTCTTGAGTCCTATTATTTTGCAATTAAGTCCTCTTCTTTTGAAAGTATTGCAGTTGACCCGAGTCAAATTTCAAAAGCTTGCAATTTATTCTTCAAACTTTCCAAATGTCGAATTTAATTTGATTCTAACTGAATTTCTTTGCTGTCAATTGCAGTCCACTTCCAAAGGCTCAATTAATGCATATTTTATCTTCAAGTCCTCAATTATTTCAAAAGATGCACTTTAATCCTTGAGTCCTATTATTTTGCAATTAAGTCCTCTTCTTTTGAAATCATTACAGTTGACCCGTGTCAAATTTCAAAAGCTTGCAATTTATTCTTCAAACTTTCCAAATGTTGAATTAAACTCCCGAAACTTATGATCTTTTCCCCAAATGCTCCAATAATATTTTTAATTGATTTTTGCAATCTAGTTAATCTTCAATTGAATCAAATCTGTTCCAAATAGCCTCTTTTCACATAATTTGTATGCAAGTTGAGATTTTCCTACAAGAATATAATTTACACAAATTAAGTAGATAATCGTCCAATTCATGAATAAATAAATAAGAATAGAAGTCCGGATAATCTCATAAAATGTACTTATCATATTTGTTTTTGGACATTCAAAAATTGTGGTGATTACCATCTATTTCATAACTAACGAATCCTAGTTTCGACATGACTTATAAATCAATCTTAATTTCAACATTAATGAAGAAAGATTTTGACGAGAACCTGTAATCCCCATCCATATTCAGGAACTGAGTTCAATTACCATCTATTTCATAACTAACCAATCATAATTTCAACATGTCTTATGAAACCAATCTTAGATTCAACATTAATCAAGAAAGTTGACAATGCTAATATAAAAAACATAGGGATATACAAAAAGGGTTATGCTACATGAATATCAGGGTCAAGGTGTCCATAACAGTGTCCACCCAATCGACTTGCAAATAAAATATAATTTATTTGATATAGGTCATCCTCCATGTGAGGGGGTGGACATTACATTATGTACAAGTAGCATATTCCATACATAAATACCATTTTCCGTCACCGAGGCCTTCTTGGTTGGACACTCGACTGCTGTACACTTGTCATTGTTCTGTTGAAGCTGAAATAAGTGCAAAAACTTAAAATGATTACCCCATTTTCTTATACTCAACTCAAAACCAGCTAAAGTCAAGACAGAGATCACTCCAATGATAGTAACTGCTGGTTCGGCTGCTATACTAACCAACACCCTTACCCCTTTAAATGGACTCCTCGACTCAGAACGAATCTAGGCTTTCTCTGGTTATATAATCTAGCCAATATGCAATAATTAAGCCAGTTTCAAGACATCGTGTACAAATCTGATAATTTCGTTTACTCAACAAAATTTCGTTGATACGACAAATCTTCCTTTTCTTCGTACAAACATTCTATACAAATTTTAGGTTCATATGTGAAGAACATGAAGAAAGCCATTGGAAGCTATCTCTGAAATGAATTCTTTAAATTAATCATATGACAAAAAGAAGCGCTCAAGCTAGTTTTTTGAAAAAAAAAAAAAAACAGCATATTACAAACAACATTACAATTTCCAATCTGTCTAAAACATTTAGTAGTGCATTTGCAGCTATTTGGAATGACAGTTGAATCACATTTAGGTGCTTCTAAAGAAACTATGAACTGGTGATAGACTACAGAAGCTCGATGGCACATAATCAAGGTTAATCACTTCAAGTTTTTGAGCAACGTTTCCTTCATTATTCTTCAAAATTCTACTCCTGAACCTCGATTGCATCATTCTCGATCAAAAGTTTGGTTATATGATTCATCTGTCATTCAAATCTGCATGATGAAATTTCATCAGACGATGGAGGTGTGAAGTCTGCATCAACTCACTGACAAACCTTTGGCAGATTGCAGCTATGGGGATCACTTGATGAGTTCATTTGAAAGCAAGAACCGGAAAGTAAAATTGTGAGGAATCCATTCTATTTTCTTCCATAGTTTTCCTTGCCGAGGCTTCTTTCTCAAAGAATCAAGCATTGAATGCTCAATTACTTCTGCAATACCAGCAGGATATAAGCCCATCTCCTTTATATAATATTCAACATTCTTTGGGACGAGTAATCTTTGTTCTTTATGTAGCCTGAAGTTTGACTGAATATACTCTTCCTTCGCTATTTCCAGTTCCTGGAACACATTTTTGGGTGTATATAAACGAACCTGCAAAACTTTAAAAGTTACTAGAAGAAATTTGTAAGCATTTGCCCTGAAAAAATCGACCCCAGTGCACAGATAAAGGGCATGTGCTCTTTTTCTTGTACTGTCGGTGCTACATAGTTCACCTCACTATGCAATCCACAAGATTCTTAAAGAATGAAGTTATTAGCTCAGGGCTAAAACATTTAACGCTTACTGATGGATCCGACTGACATCCCAAGCAGAGTGCAAAACGTAGACGAGTTTCTGGATGATGTATTGCGTATGCCTTCTGAGAATCTCCGGCTTTAAACTTTGCCTTGGGAAAGAATAATGATTGTAGCCACTATAAGCAAAATTTACGTTCCATTAGTCCATGAAGACATGTCAGTTTAAACGTTATTAATTGAGAAATATCTTAGCAAAAGATATAAGAACTTGACACGATTAACTTTGTTAATTATGTATATATAACAGAAAACTCGGGCTTACTTGAGCTGGACGAGGCAATCTGCATCCTAAAATAGAACTCTGTATAATGTCAATGCTAACAGCATGGCCTCCAATGTTATATGCAGCCTGGATCATATGAGATGTTATTCAGATCAAAAAAGAAAGAATATGCTACAATTCTTCAGAAATTTTACTTAGCTTCTTCTTACCTTCAGGACGAGAGAAAACCTTTTTAGATTTCCTCGCGGAGTACCGTACACCAAAAATGTCTGTTGCATAAATGAGTCGCACTTGATTTCTGCCTGGTACTGTAGGATAATGAAAATGGAAATAACTGAATTCTTACATGCATCACCAGTGCGTTGTGAACATTAATCCAGAAAGCTAATTTCTCTTCATGCTTCAGTATACCCAGATCGACTTGTGCCAACCTAGAAATGAAAAACCTAAAATCAAGTAGTAATAATTGTTTCAGTATTACTAATAACATATGCAGAAATTCAACAATTTTAAAGGACTAAGAGTTTGTTTGGATAAGCTTAAAAGTAAAGTTACTTTAAATATCTTTTTTGCCTACATGTTCAAGCTTTATTGCAGTGGGATTTTCTGGTTCAACCTAATGTGGTTCAGTTCAAATCCAGACTGAAAATCTGCTTTGACGTCAATAAGTTGTGATAAAGTAACAGATAATCTCACTGCAAGTTATAAACTCAAAAGAGAGGAGCATTAGCACAAATACACAGAAACTAGAAGACTAAGTACCTAAAATTTTGCAGTATGTCTTCAATAGCATTTAGTCTTTGGCTATCTCTATGGATGCCTTGAACTTCAACCATTGCGAAGAAAGGTCCGGATAATTCTTTAGATGCTCCATTATATAAAGGACTGTTCATCCAAGAATTTTCTTCACATTGCCTTGAAGAAAATTTACTCGTTGGAGGCGAATGTGCAATAGCTGAACCGAATTCATGATTGATCGAAGGTGAGTCCGAGAGATGAAAATATATAGTTGAAATGCACTTAATCATCTCCTCGGAAAGCCAATTAGGTGTTTCTCGAGCACGATCAGGAAAATTGGAACCAAGTTGCTCTGCTAAACTGGCACTCGAGGTAGAGCCCTGAGCCCTCTGGTGAAAAGACACAACGATGCACAATTTAATAGTCTTAACTAAGCCTCCATTTGGGAAACAAATTTATAAATGGTTTATAAATTTAGTCAAAA